AAAATTCAGCCACGTCAGTCTGAGCCAGCAAAACACAGTTTGAGTCCAGTGGCATCTTTAAGACCAACAAACATTTTATTCAAAGTGTAAGCTTTGGACATGAAATAAAGCTTTGTTAGTCTTAAAGGTGCCACTGGACTCAAACTTTGTTCTCTGTCATTAAGAAAAAGTGATTGCACTTAAGGGGGGAAAAGAAGTTGGTAACATTAACAATTTTGCCATTTTAAGGCCTTATTTCTCTCTCTGGCATAAAAATGAAGTTGCTGCATTAAAAATAAACAGCACACTTTTCAGAGACTAGAGCCAGCATGGTGTAATGGTTAAGAGTGGCAGACTCTGCTCTGGAGAACTGGGTTTGATTCCCCCACTTCTCCACATGCAGCCTGCTGGGTGACCTTGGGCCAGTCACGGTTCTCTCAGAATTCTCTCAGCCCCACCTACCTCACAGGGTGCCTGTTGTGGGGAGAGGAAAGGAAGGATATTGATAGCTGTTTTGAGACTCCTTAAGGTAGAGAAATGTGGGGTATAAAAACCAGGCTGCTTCTTCTAGAACTCAGTTCTTCAGACACAAGCCAACAGATGCTCAAAATGCACTGTGTTCTTTCAATTGCCCTTCATCAGAGATGGCTTTGCAAGTGGGTAAAGTTTAATTGGGAGAGTGAATCCATTGATGATACACTACATGACAGAGGTTATGTTAGGTAACGGCCAATCTAGCACAGCATCCTGTTTCACACAACAGCCAGCCAGCTCAGACTATGCCCCTTCCTAAGAAGCCACGTTCAAAAGAATTGGGTCTCCAAGTCCACCTAGTACAGTGCTGTCTTTTGACTGGCAGCTGCTCTCTGGGTACTACCTCTGAACATGGGAGTTCCATCTAGCTGTTATAGCCAATACCTATCCTCTAGGAGGACTTTTCAAACCATACAAACGCCCCCCCCCCCAAATCAGCCAGGAAGATTTGCCCACCTCCTCTTTCCACTTCTACATTAGTGCATGCCATTTTCCCTTCCTCCCCTTCAAACTCGCAGAACAGAAAGGGGAGGAGGAAGTAGACAGGCATGTGGGGGGCACTGCTGATCCTTCCCTCTTAGAGAAAGGGCTACCCCTCCCCTCCATGGTGGCAGATCACATTGGGTATTTCTAAGCAAGATGTAAAGCTGCAGATTTCTTTGGGAGTCAGTATCTGACCTCAGTGGCATTTGCTTCCAGCAACCTGGTCCAGGAAACATTTCCCCCCCTGCAGAACTATTGGTTTTATGCCAATACTTACCAATTTCAAAGTTAACTATGATTACTTTAATGGTATGGTTATTAAACAGGTAATACACATCTCTGGGACAGTTAAGGAAAAGGAAATCAAGGTGGGAATGTGCAGAAGTAAAGACCTTTTGGAGGGAAATTACTGAAATCTTTAGGGAAGTATGCAAGGTAACACTACTTATAGACTTTAACCTAATGTTGTTAAGCACAATAGGAAGCCCGGTATTGGATAAGAAAACTCAAAATCTAGTCAAGGCTATGATACTGGCGGGAAAGGCAGTTATCGCTCTGGGTTGGAAAGACAAAAGTAAATGGACAATAGAAATCTGGCACAACTATTTGTTTGATTTTATACAGTCAGACATTGTGGAGTCAACCAACAAGGAAACAACATGGGAAGAAAAATCCACGGAAATCAAGACCAGATGGAAGATCTACCTAGACTGGATGATGAAAGAAAGAAGGAAGGACATTCAGTGGAAGATCAAGACTCTATGCCCTTGGCTGGAGGGAAAAGACTATGACTAAAAAAGAGGGAG